CCAGGCCCAATTAATATTTTTTTAGGGTAATTTCCCCCTTTTTTTTTTGGTAAAAACATATTTTTAATGTGTAAATTTTTTTTTTCACGTATTAGTCCGGTTTAAAATTTTTTAGCCCGATCTTGAATTTAATTCTGAATCCGTCCATGAGTCTATCCACACTTTTCCTATGTTTTAACCCTGTTCAACCATCATTTCCCAGGTAATAAAAGGGCTTATCTTCAAAGATAGGATTGTGGATATCTGATTGGCTGATTGAGTTGCCATCTTCAAAGATAGGATTGTGGATATCTGATTGGCTGATTGAGTTGCCATGTGGATTACAGAATCTCATTTGTTGCTTGATTTTGCCTTAGAATATCTAAAACTGGATGTGCACATTCTTCACTCGCAGACCAGAACCATTGGTTGTGCATTTTTTTACCTATGGTTAATAATGGAAATTTTGGAGCTTTACGATGTTGATTTAGCGATTGTAGCCTTCGTAAAATGAGTTATTTTATTACAATAGTGATGTAGATTGAGAAAATCAAGCTAGTTCTACTGAAAAAGCTGAGTTCTACTAAAAAAATTGAACGTTAACGGTTTAAATCTAAAATTCTTCAATCATGCTACATGTACATTTTTCTTGACATTTTACTTGACATTGTGCCACGTAACGACACATGATTCGATAAGTTAAAAAAAAAAAAAAACATTTTTCCACTCAATACTTTTTGAACTCCAATAAAATGTACACAGAGATCTCAACCATGGAATATTAATTTTATAGATTTTAAAAATATTTTTGGTGGTGGTGGTGGAGGAGAAGGAAGAAGAAGAAGGGGGAAAAAGGATTTCTTTTTTATTTCTATTTTTTTGATAATTTATTTGGGATTCATTTATATTTTTTAAAATTTTGAGAGTATAATTGCAATTCGTTCTTTGGTTTTCTTCTCTATTTTTTTTATTTAAATAAGAAGGTATATCGTCATTTTCACAGCTTTTTATTGAAAAATTGGATAAAAATGATGATTTCCTCAATGGAAAGTGAAAATATTATTTTTCAATCACATATTTCATCAACTTTAAAGAAAAAACTACTGAAAATCTAATTTTTTTTCAAAATCAAATAGGTGCTCAATCTATCTTGCTCAATATACTAAAAAAAACCCTTTATATTGTATCTGGCAAAGATTCCAACCTTCATTGTCTTCGCAAGTTAGGTCACATGATTAATCAAAAAGTAGATCATGCTAACTTGACAGTGCCTGTTTTATTCCTTTCCCATCAAGTAGGTACTTAAACACTATTTTAAGGTGTAGAATTTAAATAATTGGTAAAAAAAATGACCTTTAATGAATTGAAAAGAGAAAAGTCGCTATTAATCATGCAAGATGAGGTATGCGAATGTGTAACACGCTTCTTAAAGTTCCCAATTTTGAGAGCTCCCCTTGTCTCGTCCCTAGATCATTGCAAGGGAGGTAAATCGTGAGATATGTCCCAACAGATCAGGGAACAAGAGCTTACCCATGCATTGGTACCCATAAAGAGTCCAATTTCATATATCAGGAATTAAACCCTCACGCTACAACTGTCAACAAGATTGAGACTATCTCACTCATGTATTTTGCACTATTGGGTTATGCCCCGGAAGCATGTGTAATACGTTTCTTATCTTCACTATTGGCTACTTCTCAAATAAACAAGTTTGAAAAATGTACGTTACTCATTATTTATTTATTTATTTATTTATTTATTTATTTATTTATTATTTATTTATTTATTTATTTATTTATTTATTTATTTATTTATTTATTTATTTATTTATTTATTTATTATTATTATTATTTTATTTTGGACATTTTGCTTGAAAAAGAATCAACTACCTAAAACGTCATTGTGCAGCTGCAGGTTTTTTCATCTGTTGCTGCAATGAAAAGTAAATTGAATTCTTCAATTTTTACGTTTGGGCGTCATAAAACGCCTTTCGAATCTTTGTTTTCTTTAAGGGTTAAGGTCACTGATATTTTTAGTAATCACGTGAATAATTATTGAAGTTATTTTTTTATTTTTTTTGTTAATAATAACTCAAACTTTTAAATGTTATGCTAAAGCTCACTTGGTGAAAAAATTAACTTTAAATCCTACGTGGTGCCGTAATTATCAACATGCCACCAAAATAATTATTTATTAAATCAAGTTAACAAAATTGAGAATTGAGCAAAATTAGAATTTCAAGCTGTAATTGTAAGGTAAACCTAGACTCTATTTCAGTATTTCTTTAGCAACGAATTCGCTAACTTGGCATAATAGATAAACTGTTTGGTGACAGTATGACACTTAACAGCGCCACAAAAGATTTAATGTTAATTTTTTAATTTTTTAATCTAGTGATCATTAATGTAATATTTAGAAACTTGAGTAAGTATTATTGTAAGAAAATAACTTTAATAACTATTGATGTAGTTACTCAAAACTTGTGTAACCATTAACGTAAAAAAAATTAATTAATTCTTGCAGGAAAAAGAATGCCTTTGGGAGGCCTATTTTATCTCTTTGGTTTAGACTTTTGTTATGTGTAATATTGGTGTGATGGGAAAGCAGCTCAGACGGAGAGTTTGAAAGGAGTTAGCCCGTCACTTGTAAAAGGAAAAGTATAATGCATCAAATAAAGGTTGAACCCCAATCTCGAGGGCTCCCACCGCTCCGCTCCTAGAGATTTGTGAGGGAGGTAAATCGTGGGATGTGTCCCAACAGGTTAGAGATCAAGAGTTTTTTTTTTTTTTTGATAACCCAGGTGTCCCAACTTAGCCGGACTAAATTCTGGACCTCTAGCCCCCGGCCCCTCAGTGACTAGTGGAGGTAAATCGCAGGTTGTGCCCTTGTTGGTTCCCAGGTTCCCACATGACTTTTACTCCTTCCCCAAAGGGACCCTCCTCCATGGTTATTACATCACCAAGCTGCTCCAATTCTTCCTCTGGTTATTACATCACTTGGCTGCTCCAACCAGGAATCGAACTCCCCACACTTGGTTCCAGAGCCCCCCAATGTGATTGTTCCGCCAACTTGGATGTGCCTTGGGGGGCGGTTAGGGATCAAGAGTTGCTTGTACACCGCGCCTACAAGGAGTCTAATTCCATGTTTCAGGAATCGAACCTCCACATTACGACTGCCAGCAAGGCGTGAGATAACATTACTCCTGTCCTTTTGCACCACTAGGCTATGCCCCGAGAGACAAGTATAATGCATCAAATAGCAAGTTAATTTGGTTGTTTCTGAAGTTAAATTAAATAATTTAAAACATATGCAATAAGAAAAAAAAGTTGTCCTAAATAGCAATCATTCACCATGATCCACGAAAAGGATCTTAAAATAGTTAACTATGGAGTATCCAAGCAAAATTCTTTCTAATAAAATGCCAAAAAAAAAAAGTCTATCATGTTCAACTAAATCAAATCAAGGATAATAATACGTATAAAGAATAAAAATAAAGGCTAAATAATTGGTCATTTGGCTTTAGTGTGAAGGCAGCTTTCAAGCAAATGCAGCCAATCTCAAGGGTTGGATTACTTTATAAGCAAACTATGATGCTTAATTCTATGAAATTGAAGTTTTTTTTTCTCTGTATTATAACTATGTGGTTATCATTTTGAGTGACACTGACACCCGTCATTGTCTCAGAATGGAAGTTGACACTGAATCCTTATAATTTCGATGCAATTTGGTTACTTACAAAATGGAATTCCACTTTTTATTTCTTAATATAAGCAACCACACTCTATTTTTAGTGGTCGAATTTTTGTCCACTTTTATTTTACACGTGCTATTAGCAATTCAAGATATATCGAAATTTGAAGCAACTTCAACTTGGCAAATGGAAATCCAATTGTGTGATTTTTTAATGAATGTGGAAGAAATATTGATTTCCGTTAGGGGTGAGTTGATTTATTATTCTTATTGCACCCGAACCGATCGAAATCGACTTGGATCGATTTGGTTGATTTATTCATCTTGTTGATTCGATTTCGAGTTGGGAATTCATCCAACCAAGACATGGTCGGTTCAATTGTCGAATTGGGTCTGAATTCAACTCATGTCCACTTTTAATTTTCATCACATCGTTAATGCGTCAAAATAAATTCACTATTCAACCATTATCGACTATATTTGAATGATACCTTATTTTGCACATACCAATTGAGAAAAAAAAAGTTTTCCTTATTTTTTATGTCAACGTCTATGAACCAAAGTAAATTGACAATGTAAAAGTTCGTCTTTTTTTTTTCCTTTTAATTATATGTTAGGCATTATTTTTTACCAGAGCTGATGCGAGTAGACATACTTCCACCACGTAGATCTACAAACACAAGTCCAAACTATTTCAAGTTGGTTGTCAAACAATGCTACATGAAAATTAAAGTAGAAAGTAGAAAGCATGAATGACTTACATTTTCGATAAATTGGATTAAATGATGCTAAAATAAGCTCTATATGCATAAAAGATTAGATTGAAGTGGAACTCTGAGTTGGCTTTTACTATCATGAAGGGTCAAAAAAATATTTAAACAAGCTTTTAGCACAAATTAAAGGTTTCCATGTCACTCACCTATTTGAGGATATAAAAGGTCATAATTTCTTATGATTTCCTATCATGAAGAATTTAATAAATTAAACCAAAATTTAATTGGTGGTTGTGAGGTTAAAAGCACTATTTAAATAGAATGCATAATTTGGCTAATAAGATTGCGTCACGACTTCATTTTTTTATTTTTCAAAAATAATGAGTGAATTATTTTCTTGAATAAGACATTACGATGCAATTTCAATAAGAAATATCCAATAATAATGCTATTCAAAACTAGTCGACAATTATGTTGTACAAATTACAAAATAATGGACTCACTGAAATGTAATGTCACATGATTCATTTAATTGAATATATCAAATTTGTCAACTAGACTGGTGCTCTAATATCACTAATATTAGATAACATTATTCAAAATCCAAATCAAAAAATTTAGCCACCTGAAATCTTTCTACCACATCCTTTTAAATTAGCAAAATATATTTAACATGTTTAACCAACAAATTATTAAAAAGTTACAAAATATATACAAGTCAAACAACATAATTTTCTAACATATATTTCTATTTTTATAACATATCTACAATTGAGAATGCGAACTATCTCCCTTAATGACAAAATTGTCATTTCACATAATGAAGCAACCATTAGGGTTTTCGTCGCTAAACATTTGATCGTTCATGTTGACATAAGTTGGTGGTGGTGGAGGAGGGCCCTCAGAATATTGTACCATATAACCAGTATTAACATGATCGTTGTTGTATATTGGTACATTATAGTCGTGATGGACATAACTTTGGTGGTACGTTGGAACTGCATAATGTGTATTGGTATTGTATGCTTGATATTCCATTTTGTTTAATTCGCCCTTTGTCCCTTCGATTTTGCTTACTTCCCCACCGCCAGCTTGTTTTTTCTCATTGTTTACTTCGCCCTTTGTCCCTTCGATTTTGCGTCCTCCCCCACCGTCACTTTCTTTTTGCTCATTGTTTACTTCGCCCTTTGTCCTTTCGATTTTGCTTCCTTCCCCACCACCACCTTCTTTTTTCTCACTACTGCCGCTGCCACCTTCGTTTTTCTCTCCACCACCATCTTTTCCCTTCTTGTCTCCACCGTTTTCAGTTTTCTTTGGTGGAACAAAATCAACGCTTCTGTTTAGCTTATCTTTCAAGAAAGCCGTAAGATGTTTTACATCCATTGTCCCATTTACAGTTACCAAATCCTCATCTAAATTTGTCGACACAGAATCAACTCCTAAAATAAGAAAAACATAATATCGTCATTGATCTTTGATCAACGCGATTCATGCTAAATATTAAAAATAATTTACTCTTTTTAATTTAAAATACAGTTAGGCTAACTCACCTGCAATGTTCTTATTTATGATCCGCTTTATTTTATGTGCACATCCATCACAATGCAGTTTAATCTTCATTACTACTGTACTAGGCGTAGGCTGAACAATCCACACAAAATGGAAATAAATTAATAAAAAATAATTAATCCAAATAAGTGAGAATTTTTCTTTTTACCTCTTTGGGTTTTTTATAATCCGCCTTTTTCTCCTCTGGTTTTTTGCCTTCTATTTTTTTTTCAGATTTCTCATCGGATTTCTTCGCGCCGGCGCCGGCGTCCTTCTTGGGATGAGGTGAGACCAGCTCCACCTTCTTCTTAGTCTTGTATTCAACTCGCTCGCGGAGCCATGCGGGGTCCACCTTTCCAGTCACTGTCAAACTACTGCTACCCCAATCGGCTTTTACATTCTCAACGCCTACACGATTGGCCAACCCCACAAAGACAATTTTAGGCTAAGGCTAGCCACTTGGTCTCCAAACTCCATTAAGAAGGCATTTGACTATCTTTAAGCGCCATTTGACCTCCATTAATTTTTATTCTATTTTTTTCTTTCGTATTTTTATCCATACAATCGTTCATAAAATAATATTACACATAAATTGAAAATTTTTCCTTCTTTCTTAATCACTCATTTTTCAAAAAAATATTATTCCACTTATTTTCTTTTCTACAAAATAGGAACCAAACAGGGCTAAATTTCACCGTTTGTTATCTAAAAATATCCAAGAAATTATAGAGATTCAAGTCCATAATTTGAGCAACAGCATTTGAACGTTGAAATTATAGTTGAGTTGTTTAAAACAAAATGAAAAATAAAAGTAAAGGTTAGAAATTACATTGAGCCCCTATTTAACGACCAGTATTTTTAAACTCTTTTTTTACATATTATTTTCAATCAAATATTCACAAAATAAAATATTCTGCATATAAATTCAAACCTTTTTTCTAATTCTATACATTTTTTAAAAAATCACTTCGACATTCTATTCTTCAAATAATGGTTTTCAAACATTCTCCCAAAAATCACACAATAAATTACGTAACAGATCCTAACTTTTAGTTCTTGGGTTTTAAAAAATTTGGTAATGATTATGAGAATTATTTTTTAACCGTTAGAGAGAAAAGTGAGTTCCACCTGTAAATAAAAAAGTAAAAAATGACAACTAAAAAGGTGAAATAACGTTTGAAAAAATTGATTTTTTTGGAGTTAAAAATTGCTATCAAATGGGGGCTAATAACAAAATTTAGCCCCTCGTTTGGCCCTCTTTTTTAGAAATGGAAATGTGTTGAATAGTATTTTTTTTTTTTAAATGAGTGGTTGTAAAAAAGGAAATTTTTTTATTTATGTATAATATTATTTTATGAAAGATTCTGTAGTGGAAAATATGAAAGAGAAAAATAGAATGTAATGAAATGAAAATTAACGGGGCTTGTACCGTAAAAAAAAACATAAAAAAGAAAATTTTAGACCTTCAAATTGGCGAACGGAGCGTTTGACTTTCTTGGCACAGCCTTCACAATGCAGGTCCAACTTCAACACAGTGATCGGACTGTCGTCCTTCTTTCCTCCACCGTCCGCTGCTGCCGTCGCTGCTGCGGCCTTCTGGCCTTCATTCTTATTCTCTTTTTCAGTCTTTATCTCATCTATCTGAAATAAAACACACAGAAACATAAACAATCGAGTAAAAAATAATAATTTATGGTATGATTTTGAGATTAAATAGAAGGAAAATAGATACCTCACCCATTTGTTTTAGTTTTGAAATTTTTTATAGGATGATTATTTATGTTTGAGTAGAAATGGAATGGTTTGAAGATAGAAAATGGAAGCAACGGCCGGAATATATAGAGAATGAAAATAGAAAAATATTTGCGATTTGATGAATTCGTATAAAATCAAACAAAAAAATAATTCAGTGTGGGTGGTAGGGTCCATGGCTGTATAATGTGTATATGTATGGATGTGGATCATGGGATGAAGATGTAGTTAGTGATGGTCTGGCAATGGGGAATGGGTTGTGTGGGATCCGTCTGGAGCAAGATCGTTAAAGATTTTTTTAAACAATTTTTCTGCTTGTACAGAAGCGGAAGTGACAGAATTTCATCGATGCTAATCTGATTGATCTTTTTTTTTTTTTCTTTCGTCTTTATTTAATTGGATGTTGCCATGTGTATTCTATAAAAATTCTGGCAAAAAATTATATACACATAGCAATTATATTTTTGAAAATATATAATGTGAAAATTGTTTTTTTAAAGAATGAACAGTTAAAAGTAACAAAAAAAAGTTACGAGTTCACGTGCGAAATTATTTTATTAAAAATATAATAATTAAAAATGGAATAGAAAAATAATGAGTTTTAAAAGAATCTTTTACCAAATTGGGACCGAACCAGATTTTAGTGGGGGGAGATTTTTTTAACATAGAAATTAGTGAATTTTGACTAAGTTGTCCACTTACCACGGCCCAAAATTTTTAGGTGGGTTAAACCTAGTGGCAATTATAATTTAGAAATTCCAAAATTTCAATGTGTCAAAATGATAATATAATATAATGAGAAACAAACAAAGGATAATACGAAGAATTATTCTTATTTACCAGGGCCACATAGGCCCTAGTAATGCCAGGGGGCCAGTTGGTTTCTTGTGATAGGTGGGAGGAAGATCCTATGTGGATTTGGTAATGCATCGCTACTAAAATCCAAATTACGCGATAATTGGAATAAGATGATGTGTTCCTAGGATGATTCGATATTTGACCATTAATTAAAATTAGGGTTAGTATAAGGCATGCATCACCGCGTGTTCATGCTTTCAATTAATTTAAAGATATTTCAATGTAGAACATTTTTTAACAGGTTTTCACAAAATATCGATTTAAAAAAATACTTAGCCCCCCATTAAATTAAATTTAATTTTTCTTTTTTCTTTTCAATCATTCAATATTTAATAAAATATTATTATACGTATATCGAAAATTTTTCCTTATATTTAAACCACTCATTTCCAAAAAAATATTATTCCACCTATTTTAATTTGAAAAAATAGGGGCCAACGGGGTAGAGTAGGAAAATGACTGAAATCAGGAAACAAAGAAAAGTTTGCCAGTAGAATAAACAGTTTTTATTGGATGATATATTACAAATTATGGGTTTGCATATGCCTTCTCCTTGCTCAATTCAAGTAAGACATATATCGTTGAATCAATCTTTTTTATCACATCACGTATAATGAGAATAGAAAAAGCAAACGGTGCTTATGATTGGTTCTTAGAACTTGTTCTCGTAATAAAAGGCTCAATTGCCATTGTCTACTAGTGAAAATCTTTCAAGAAAGAATTATGTTACTTATTACCATGACGATTGTCAAAATTCTTGAATGTTGTAGGTGATTATCAGTTATAACGTGTAAGGATGGCAAGCAAACTATTTTATTTTCCCAACAAAGTTTGTTTGTTTACATTGGGTAATAAAGCGTGGTGAAATAGATTCGTTGCACGAGTTAAAATCTTGAACAAAATTATGAACTTTAGACTTTTAACAATTTTTGTATTCATAGTGCACACGTCACAATCATGTTACTTTTTGCTAAAGCATTGAACAATATAGAGCTTTCTAGCAAAATTAATTTGCATTAAAGCATAGCTTGGAGCCTACTGGTGGATTTACACTATTAAGTTATGAATAACTTGGGGTGTGGGGGGAATTAGGGAGGGCTCCAACTAGGTAATAGCTATATAGAGACGATTAGATTTGAAGTAGACAATATCGCAACTCAATAATATTGGCAAGTCAATAAAGGTTTGACTATTTCATTCTAAGGAGAGCATTTTGCCCACTGGCAACGGATCACTTCCTTTGTGCAAGTGTTGTTGAGAATTTGTTCAAAATCAATATAGTGTTGAAGTGTGGAATGTTAAAACTAAACGGTCGAAGTGGAATGTTAAAACTATACGGTGGAAGTGGAATATTAAAACTAAGTGGTGGATGGAACCAAACGGTAGGATAAAACTGTGGAATAAAACAATAAAAAAACAAACGATAGCCCAAGTTCTTGGCTCATGCGACAACATGAACCATGTGGTCATGCGACCAAGTATTGTTGAGAATTTGTTCAAAATCAATATAGTGTTGAAGTGTGGAATGTTAAAACTAAACGGTGGAAGTGGAATATTAAAACTAAATGGTGGATGGAACCAAACAATGAATAAAACGGTGGAATAAAACAATAAAAAACAAACAGTGGCCCAAGTTCTTGGCTCATGTGACCACATGAGCCATGTGGCCATGCGGTCACATGGCCACTTACCGAAAATTGAAGGGGCTGCTTGTGATGTTCCATGCGACTGCATGGATTAATACCATGCAGTCGCATGGGTAAAGAAATCCGACCGTTGCAATATTGTTTCTTGTCATTGAAGGTTCAAATTTTGGTGGCTTTTCATTATGTTTGGCACCACTTTGAGCAGCTATCATCCATGGTTATATATAAGTGATTTGTGATCATTTCAAGGGTGTGAAAAAAAAATCGTCACAAACATGAGAGAAACACCTTTTGATCCAAATATTATTCCACGTAAAATCAAACCATTGATTCCTTATTCATATTCAAATCTTCCTTGTGTTCTTAAAATTTTGGAGAATCGCACTTATGCTTTAGCGCTAGATCCTTTACAAGGCTTGATATAATTCTACAAATCGTTTATCAAAATCTTTAAGCATCTCAAACAATCCCGAAAGAAGGCAAATATAGTTTGAGGACAGCAATTACGCATTCGAGCATTCATTTCATTATGTTCTTCATCTTCTTCATTTCATCTTCTTCGTTTTTTGGTTATTGGTTCTTCTCCAATTTCCTCGGTGATGCAAATTTCCCAACAATCTCAAACTATAATTTGGTGATGGAGAATGAAACCACTTTGGCAACAATCAAGTTGATGGATTGAGATCTTGTTCGTGGGGACTGTTTGATAGCTCGACTTGTAGGAGAACTGAATCCAGATTTTGTGTAAGTCGAAATTGCTCTCCAAATTCGTCTGAATGAATCTCTACTGATTGTCTTCTCCCAATCGAAACCTCGCGAAAACACTTGTCAGCCATGGAAGGGATAAATGGAACCCAATTGTGTGGTTCCTAGTAAGGCTTCTTTGGGATATTATGGACACATTCATGGCTGATCGGTGGTAGGCGGTGGAGGAAGTTGCTCAACCGCCAACTTATTATAATAGGAAGTAAGTAAAATGGGTGTGGTGCATTAATATCAACCAATAAAAGATTCATGAATATGGGATAGGATCACAACATGTGATCATACAAGTTGGCATATTTTCTGGATAAGTGCATGTGATTCAGATTACTAAATGGTGACTCCTGATGTTTGGTGACTAATTTTCGAATGTGAAAATTGTGTTTGCATGGCATATGGTCATGATAGCAGTATTAGAATTCTGTTAAAGAAATTCTAATACTTCAGACATTGAATCCATAAATCTATTTGGAATTGATCTAGTCACCAGATGGGTAAAATATTCTTGAGAATTTATTCATGTATTGAAAAACCACAAGGGCAGTGCTAGAAGGAGGCTGCCATATATTTCAAAATGGGTAAGTACTTTCATTGGAAGTTTACTAATTGTTTTTCGGAATTGCATGATGCTAAGCTGTATAATTATAAATTTTCTACATGATATGTTTGGCCCTGAATAAATCATGTGCGTAATCTTGCTTTGTTATGGAAATTTGATTTTATATATGGAATATTTTGAAATATTCTAGGACCAGTTTAGATGGAAAATATGTGATTTTCCAAAGTATGGCTTATTGCATTTTGATAAATGTTACTGCATGTGGAAATGAAATAAATTGATTAGTCTCACTTCATTGTGACATTTGGGAATCGTTTACATACATGGGATTATAATATTGGAAGAATGCATTTGTCGAAAATGTTTGAATTTCCATTTCTTTGTTGAAGTATACGGGAACGAGAAAGGGAAAATTCTAAATTGTTAGAATTTTATAAAAGAAATTATGTGAACTTTCATGACCAATTCCTTTACTAGAAAATGGAAAATTACATATGGATTACTTCATCTCACTTTGTTGTAACAATTGGAATGATTCATATGCATGAATGTTAAAGAATGCAATTTAAATCAATTATAGTGGCTGAAGATCTATTTGACCATGGTTGTTATTCGGTGATTAATTCCAATATATGGGCTATCACATTTGCTTGGATGATATATCCACTTGAATTGCCCACATGTTTCCATAGGGCACCATTTATTGCACAATGCATTTGCCATTATATTGGTTTATGAACTTCGAGGTGCAAGTAAAGCACATCCATATTTGTGTTTTGAGACCAGTATATTAATATTTAATGGGTCTAAAGGATGTGCATAAATGTGGAAGGATGTCTACTATTTGTTGAAAGCTCATAAAATTTCATGACTACTTATTCTATTGGACAAACAAGCAAATAAATCGAACAAGAACCGGATTAACCGCTTGAGAACCAGCTGGTTTGGACAGGTGTAAGTTACTCTTAACCCGGTTCAATGTTGTTAACAATTATAATGTAAATTTTTTTTCTCCAATTGGGATAAGGAGTGTCTCGAACCTTGGCATTCAAGTAGGAGTATATGATCCTTAACCACTTTGGAAATGGCCAATCTTTACTCTTCTTTGTGAGCTAAATATATATATATATATATATATATATATAGATAGATTCAAAGAAATGGTAACCATAATATAATGTAAAAGTTATACTCTATTTGCAAGGGCAATAATTTGAAACACGGCTTCTAAGGTTATATCTCACTTCCTTAACCATTTGGGAAACTTTTAAACTTTGGCTATTTAGCAAAATAATTTTATTTTTAGTTCAAAATATATTTTAATTAAAATTACGATCTAACGATGGCCCATTGGTTCAACCACTGAGTCACCAGTTGAACCACTGACTCGGTGACTAGATGATTTTTCCTGGTCGACAATCGGTTTGGGTTTAATAACTATGATAATTACCATTCAAAAGACCTATTTTTTTGGAAGAATTGAAAGGGGGCAAGATTAAAGACAATTCATCAAGGGCAAGGAGGCTAACATCAAGGAGTCAAACAAGGAGGCATGAAGAGTATCAAGAAGAATTTTAATTAAAAGCTTCAAAAGAGTTTTTCTTTCTTTTTCTCTTTATGTTATTCATCAATATGTTTAGATTTAACTCCTCCATCATGAACTGAACATCTAATCTAGGGTTTGATTGAACCACAACTTGAGAATATTGATTGATTAATTTTTGTTATTTCTATTTGTGTTATGATTTTAATACTTTCAATTAATTGGTCATTAATTGAATGAGTAGATACTATTCAATTTCGACACTCGAGAGAAGAAAATTTAAGCACAATATAAGAATATCACAAACATTGATTTATGGGTTTTGAGAGAAAGTATAGGATTTATGAAGCTTACTCCATAAAAGAACTAGTACTTTGATAAATTCTTGAATTTAATTGGGAATAAAGATAATAGAATTAATATCTAGTCGGCACTTGAGAGAGGGGGTAGAATTACATTTGAATTATTGCTTATAAACATGAAAAATTGATTAAAGATAACTAAACTTTTGAAAATCATATTTGATAGTGAGGTGAATCACAACCTTAGACTTTCTTATCTTGATTATTCTTATATCTTACATTTATTTGTTGAATTTGTCACCACATTCATCACGATAATTTAGTTAAAATCACAGATTTCAAATTTTCATTCATCCAGATAAAATAAGAGCTACATAATTATAGTACGTAGTAGAAATTAAATTACAATCCCTGTTGGTTCGACACTCTTAACTCCTTTACTATATTACAAAACTTGATACTATACACTTGTGGTATAAATCACGTTGTGAAAAATGCGTGGCATTGTTGACTCGATCGTTGAGGTGCAAGTGATTGCTGGACCTTTTTCTCGATGAATGATTTTTGCCTCCTAAAGGGGTGTTTCAATGTGTAGGTGATGCCTACCAAAAAGGGAGGTGGCTGGGATTATATTGATACATTGTTTGAGATCAACAATATTAAACATGTTTTAAAATTAACTAAAATATAATTTCGATATACTTTATATATTTGTATATGAAATATGAACAAATTCTTAATAAGTTATGATTATATCTACGTTATTTACAAGAAAATTGAGCCCTTGTTTGGTTTTTTTTTTTTTTTTTAAAAAAATTAGATTTTTAATAAATTCTAATAAAAGTTGACGAATATGTATGATTCAAAAATTGATAAAATTTTGAGTCCCATAAAATATGGTTAAAAATAAATTTTAAGAAATAGAGGCCAAACAGAGATTGAAAGAGTCCAACGATAAAAGTTTTGGTTTTTTAGTTATGAAAAAATTACCATAAACCTTACATTTTAAATACCAATTTCAAAAATCATGTGTTTCTATTTTTCTTTCAATGATCAAGAATAAATATTATTTACAAATATATGCATCATTTATCTCTCTACTCTCTATCATTACTCTCTTGACAACAACAACTCTGATCGTCGTCCTCTCTCTCTCTCTCTACAATAATTGATGATGCTAATCACCTCCACCATTGCTCTTTGTCGCTATCACTTCCACCTCGCTCTTGATTGGAGATCTAAACTCCACTAAGACAACAAACTGGGCTCCTCTGATCCAAATTGATGGTGTCTTTAGCTATCATATCTTCCCTAAAGCATCGCTTCAAGCTACTCTTCGCTGCCAGACCCTGTCTTCATACTTCGAAATCTATATGGTGAATCTATTGTTAAAATAATAGTGCATGATGGTGCGATGGATGTTGTGGTGTACAGATCTGCATGGTGGTAGTGCGATGAATGGTGTAGCTCTAGTGGTTGCATGGTGCTGTACCTATCTTCGTGGTGGTGGTGCGATGGATGATGTGGTGCACTGGTAGTTGTTGGTGATAGGTTGAGATGTACAAATCTACGTGATGATGATGTAGTGGTGGTAACGATAATGGTGGCAGCAATGTTGGATGGTGTCAGTTGTAGTGGAGTGGGATGAAATGAAGAGCGATTGTGACTAATATTTAAATAAGTATGATCAATAAAGTCGATATTTTGTAGTCGATAAATAAAACGTGGCCTAAAAAAGTGTGATTTGCGAATAAATTCGTAATTGTCTCCCAGAATTTGTATTTTTGTGCCTATGATCTTATGTGATTTACGACTAGTTAATGACTACGACTATAACTAACATGTTATTGTGACTTTAAATGTTTAATTGATTAATAAGTCACAAATATATTATCAAATATGACCCCTTATTTTTTTTTAAAAATTCATTAGTTTCTTATTTTTAAAAGTGTACATTCAAACCTTTCATGGTTATGTATTTTTTCCTTGAGTTATTTATTGACTTGAAGGTTGGGTTGTTGATTTAGATCCTTCTTGTATGCTTATGGGCTTTTGGATTAGGGCTCTACAATACTAGTACAGACTATTGGCCCAAATAATAAAAGTTTCTCCAAATCCCAATTCACAACGACGTCGCAAGGCTCACATCTTAAACATCACAGAAGACCGTATCATTCTAGGGTTTCGGAACGTAAATCCAAGAAAAAGGAACCCTAATTTCTCAAATTGAGGAAAAATCACGAAAGATGGGTGGAAAATGCCCGCACCGGAGCGTGAAGAAGCGCCGCTACTCTCACAAAACTGCTCGACGCACCAAATTTCTTCTTAAAGATATCCTTTTTAGCTGTAGTTACTTCATAATATTTTACGCCAACTTTTAGTTATTTCGGATCATGTTTTTTCTTAACCGTCTCTTGTTTACGCGACGATGCTGTTTATGATGAGCTTCATAAAACGGAAGGAGATGGCAAACCCTTGCCTGTTGACGAAGATCTCCCTGGAATGGGCCAATATTATTGTCTACACTGCGAGTAATTTCTTCGTTTTGATTTAACCTTTGTGGGAAAGTATCTTATAAACTTTTCAATCCTAGTTATTGCGTTTATTATTTTTGTTATTACAGTCGGTATTTCCCTAACGTGGCCGTGAGGGATGAGCATTTCAAGACTAAAAAGCATAGGAGGCGGTATGTATATTTTGATCGTCATATGCCTTCATTTTTCAATTGATGGTGTTTAAATAATTGCACTTGCTGTTTCAGTGATTAATTTAGTGCTATATGTTAATTTTTCAAGCGCCAGTGTTTTTCTATGAATCTTTCCTGCAATTTCTTTCAGATAGTGGATAATGAATATTAGCATATATTTTTTCTTTTTAAGCAATTATTTGGTAGGATCTTGGGTTTAGATGGAATGCTTAACTTCTGAATTTGATGGAGCTATTTTCTTTATGACTGTGCTACTGCTATTGAATCTTCTGTTTTTGTTCTAGAGATTAGACACCATGGTGTATACATCAATAGATAGGCTTATGCATTTGGACTTTAAAAGGGGGATTTCATCCCCATCCTGGCAGAACAGGGGGAATCTGCCCTCCCCATCCAATTTGAGGAGGAAGCAGCCCCTTTTTTGGGGCAAAAATTGGGTTAGTGGTGAAGGATGGCCTCTTTGTTATTCTTGATTTTTGGGGTAGATTTGTTTATATTTTTATTCCTCTTTTTTTTTTTTTTTGGTTTGCATTCGTTTAAATGGGAGACATTTTTTTTAATNATTGGCAACCTAAACTTTACCTTTTAAGATTTTGATATCTGAAATCCACTATGCCAATTTTAAGTTACAGTTGATTGTAACCTAAACTTATGTTATTAGTTGTAATACATTTTAATTTCACTCAAGAGCCTCAATCATTTTTCGTTATAACATTTAAGTTTTTTGACTTTTTTCCGATTCATTTTTTTTATCAACAATCTTTCAATAATTAGCACATCATGTCTCAAATAATGATTTCCATCAAAATATTCCATGGAAAACGTTAAGTAACTTATTTGCTCAATGCTCTTATTTTTTTTTTTTTTTTTTTTTTTTTTTTAAATAACAAATGCAAAATTCGACAATATTTTTCCCAAATTTTAAGCATGCGAGCATAATATTTTGACATAAATCATCACCAATTGTGAGATATCCTAATTTTGACATAAATCTTTTAAAACATTACAGATAAATCCTAAATTCTCCACTACCGCCACTTTCACAACTCCACCTAGCCACCACCTATAGATCCATATAACACCACTTTTCGACCACAACACCTATCGGACTCCACAACTACCAGCATCGTCTCACTCTCCCAAATATCCTCCTCCATTGTATTGGTCACTAATCTGTCCGAAACAACCACATTTACGGTGGTGGAGTCCGGTGGGCATGGTAGCCCAAAGGTGGTATTATGTGGATTTATAGTTGGCAGCTTGATAGGTTGTGAAAATGGTGGTAGTTGAGAAAATGGTGCTAATTATCCTTAATAAAATGTTGAAGATAAGAATTTAATTAAAAATAAATAAAATTAGTGACATGATTATTACAATGATTAAAGATTGGGAACCTTGAATATAATTAAAATTGGCGTAAACGATAAAATTTATAGTGCAAATATAATGACACTTGCGAAAATCATTTTTCAATGTCTTGATATTTCGTTGTTTTGGGGTTAGGAAGGACTACAATTGAAGGTCTAATTATTCCTTGTATTTAAGATTCTCCAAGGCCCAAAAAATATATAAAATTCTGGATTGCTTTCGGCATACATTTTAAGCAAAAATTCTACCAATTTCAATGGAATGAAATCTTAGGGAAGTTATTTTGCCGGACAATGTTATTTTAATAGCACCAATTTTTAATTGTATTAGAGTTCCTTAATTTTTGCTTATTGTCGGACTTGTGTTCCCACATTTTTTGTGATATGTCTATCATCAATCTTTCATTATTTAGTATGTCTAGTTTCCGATGATAGTTTTTATCCAAATATTCTAATAGTACATGTATGCTTTGAAATAAGAGGAGGCAAATATTTTATCATACCTTTTTTTTTATTTATTTAAAAAATATAATTGATAAATAAGTCTTTTTACATATCGTCCATGAGGGATAAGATATGTTAATTAAAGAAAGATTGATGATAACGTTACAACGAAAAAAGTTAGACACAAGTACGATAATGAGCAAAGGAGATCGGAGAACAAAATTAAAAATTAGTGGAAACAAAGGAGATTTATCGTTACTTACTACCCGTATTTTATCATATAAAAGGTTTAGAGGACGTTTTTGAGTGAGCAATAGGCGCATAAAAAAATTTCGTTTTTTTCCTTCAGAATGGCAAAAATTTGCAGCGGCTGTCCCATTGAAATTGAAACACTATAGATCTGTCCTTTTGCTTGTTTGCTTCATTGATGTTTGTTGACTTGTATTCTTTGACAAATTGGATAAATAGCACGTTCATTGTATCATACTTTCCTATGTATTAAGAGTACACTCACTTCAATAGATGTCTTTGTGTCATTAAATTAAGTTGAAACCTGGGGTTTTCCAGTATGTCGGGCTCTTAAATTGTCGAGGTTACACCTTTACATTTTGGGATCAAAATTCTTTCAGAATTCAAACTAATACCTAACATTGACTAAGATTAAGTATCCATGCTTGTCAATATATCATCCTAAGGTATTTCTGTGTTAGACCAGCTAATTGCCCTAACTTAAATATTATCGTTGAAATTACTTGGATTTTACGTCACGTAAAACCATATTTTACGCAATTTTATTTTTTTTTATTTTTTATTTTTTGTGGTTAAAGGAAAAATAATGAGTTTACTTACAAAATTATTTTATTAGAAATATATAAGGGTGAAAATGGATTTTAAAGAATGGAGCTCAAATATAAGTTTGTTTAATTGCTCATTTGGTACTCTGTCTATCTATTAAATAATATATTGATGGCAAAAAATTATGCGACACTTTTCATTAGCTTTAATAGATTTGAGCTAAATAAAGGTGTTCGAACTCCTTGTCTCATTCATGCTTCGTCCCTTTATATGCAGATTGATTCAAGCTTGTTGTCATAGAAGTATTGAGCTATAACATTTTGATCTAGGGCTGCATGTCATTGAAGGAATTTGATTGGTTGGTGGGTTTCGCTATGGACTCATGATAGCACTCAGACCTTAAGCTTGCATCCTAAGTCATCATGTCTTCTTCTTGATTGATTGATTTAGGCGATGTTGCTGATAAGGGAGAGCATTTCTTCTATTTATGTCATGATGATGTTTTCATACGACGTCTTTCATGATCAGACTCAGACCTCTATGGACAAGATATTGGATCAAGGTGTTGAATTGAATGCTTGAACTTTTTGACGTGCAGATTCTTTCAACCTAATAAAGGGATCCTTAACTTCTCAAACCTGAATTTCGGATCGACATCATAATACGTACTTCATTTCGATGCTGCAATGGAAAACCCATTCACTAGAACAAATAATGAAGAAACAAAAGTGAAATTGCCTAGTTCTTCATATTATCTTATGTTAAAATCTTCAACCCAAAGGTCTCCTTGTGAACTGACCTTCTCCCATGCATCTTTTGACAAGTGTTTTGGTCCCCTTCATTAGTTTACAATCGCAATAGAAGACATTTTGTACCAATTCATGTGATCTTCCCCTATATTGCTGCCCCCCCCCCCCCCCCCCCCCCCCCCCCC